TGTCGACGATGATTGATTTAACGGATCCGATCCGGGTCATTGGCAGGTCATTTATCGAAGAATGTATTACGCAGCCGTCAACCTAATACACACATCTATATATATACATATTTATTTATATAAACAGACTTATACTTCTTTTTTTTGTGTCTCTCCTATCTGTCTCTCTTTTCCTCTCGATGCGAGCTCGATTAAATGTGTATTTGTTTAAACGCAATGTAACAGAATAGGTATTTCGCTACTCAAAACTGGTATTTTTCGAGCCTTGTTTGGGTGTGTAACCTACTTAACCACGGTCATTGCTCGCGAATTCGCTGACGACCGGCTTCGCCAAAAAAGAAAGGCTGCATATATTTAGTAGACTAGAAAGTTTGCAAATTAGGCAATCCATCCAACGTTCAAAATTCGCCAACGATAATATTATTTATTATTATTTACAGTCGTGGCCCACGCGTTTCTTTTCACTCTTCACAAGCAAAACTCAACTCGAAACATTCGAATTCTATGGATCCTAGTCCGTCGTATTTCACTTCTCAATTCATTACAAATTGCTCGAAATTGTATTTCGGCGAATCTTCGTGTCCGGATGGCTAGAATCGTGCACCAGGATATCGATTCAAATATTTCTGTCGCTTTGCGTGCCGCAACTTGGAATCCATAAATACACGCCGCCAGTTTGGCCTAGTCATAGGTCGTGAACGCGTCGCCAATAAAGACCAAAAAATAATTCATAACAGTCCTTCCTTGTCCTCCAAAAATACACATTCGTAAATCGAAGTATAGGAAATATTTAGATCACGAAAACACTCAGTGTCCAATCAATATTTTTTTTTCTTTCCTCTGAATAATAACCAAGACCTATAAATAAACATATACGTAACATATATACGCTTACTATAAATATATTAGAATTTGTTTGGACAAAAAGTTACTTTTTCATAAATGCATCATAATGATACTGTTGAAGATACTATTGTAATGACGTATACTATTGTAGTGGCGGAACTTCAAATCTTTGTCCCATTCCCAAAATATAATTCGGGCACATAAGGCAAATTTGAATTTGAACAAATTTTTATTTGGAGAACTCAGGCAAATTTTAATGTGATGCCTCCCTTGATTTAAAAGAGAGAAAAATTTAAAGCACTAAACGACAGTTAAAAAATTGATGACGGAGGGTTAAGTCTGTTCTTGGAGTGCCACATTACGTAACACATTATTAACAGTAGTTCCGCCACTGGCAATGAAGTTTATTAACAGATTTAGAAATTGTTTGGAATAAAGTTATCTATTAATAATAATGCTACAAAACTAAAAACATTGAGTATGCATGACGTGTGTTGAGAAAACATAAATACAATTAGTAAATGAAGAAAAAAATATGATTACGATGTGATATGATATTAATTATGTATTAAAAGAGCTTTCACTATATATATAATAAAAAAATATTATCGATTCAAAACAATAAAATTTAATACCATAGAATCATTACTAAACATTGGAATTCCACAGTGACGTACAAACATAAAGTATAAATAATAATTAAGGAAGAAAAGGAAGAATGCGAATAAATTATGGACGAAAATCGATTTTTTTTACAAAATAAAATAGAAGATGATGCCAAGCGTCGAACAGTTTTCGTTATCGGACCTCTCCTTCTGACGCATTACGAGTATGAAGGTCGCCGCAAAATAAAAATGTTTTAACCAAAACAAAACGGATTTCAAATGTGTAATAAATTCGGCAACGAACGAATGGCGTCAGCATTGTATATTTTATTTACAAACGTTTTTCGCGTGGAAACTTATAATATTTATCGGTCGCATTTTCGTTTCTCGTTATTTATTTATTTGCACGATTCTATTGAGGCGTACATCCTATATATACATATTGTTTTGTTTGGTTTCATTTGCTATTTCGCATATTTATTGTTGCAGTAACGAAAGTGATGACTGCGGTGGGAAAAACGATCGTCGGTCGCCACGTTCTTTGTTTTTCTTTTTATTATTAATGCCATGTACGTCCATCGTAGCCATAAATATTCATCGATTCATAATTAATAAATAAATACACAAGGAATGTGTGACATTTAAAAATGTGTTGTTTTGTTTCTTCGTTGCGTTCTGTTTTCATTCGCTTCCGAATAAAACGATTACGCGTTTGGAAAATGTTTATTTTTCACGGGAAAGACTCAAGTCCTTAGCTTGCATTATTTATGCAGACTAATATCGTCCTGTACAATGATCTTCTACAGGTAGTAATCTCGATATGTCTGCACATCAAACAAAAAATTACGTTGGTATGATAAATAACTATGGTAATGCGACTCCTGCATCCGATTTAGTCACAAGGAAACGATTATCCTTTCTTCTAAAAATGACCACCGGCTTCCGCGCACCCACGCGCGTTCTTTTCCTGGACCCAAGCATAAATATATATTGTATATAAAAAAAAAGTTGGGAATAAGGAGGAGTTTGAGAGAGTGAGATAGGTGCGAAAGGAACAACAACGGGGACATTGCGCAACGCCTCAAAGGTCAAAGGAGTTATCCTTGTCGCCCTCCGCTTTTATTTTTATCGTGTATTTTTTTTATTATCAACCTTACTCCTGTCTAGCCGGAAGGAATCAGGATTGGTATCTACGGTTATGATTATGATGACGTTTGCGACGTTACAACGTTTTGCATTCGGAAACTTTCACGTAGCGTTTTCGCTATTGTTGCTTTTAGTATACATATGACCTTATGAATAAATCAGGCGCATATAATACAAAAATAATTCAAAACAACTCTTCAAAAAGGTTACTAGTTTTATTAGGTCTTCTTTCATCACAGCTCTGACTGTTATATTGCACCTACAGTTACAGGATACATGATACTAATAAAAGATCAGAAAAGTTCTAGAACAATCCAAATTTTGGCGTCAGCATATGATGCCATCACCATACAAATATAGTTGTATCATGACTACTGTAATTCATCTGATCAAATCAGATAAGTAGAGGAAGTGTACTGCAACATAAATGAAAGAACAAAAAAAGAATTTATATTGAAGAATTTTAAAGACCTTTTTTCTATTAGAAAGTTCAATCAAAATTAAGTGACCATTTCTCATCAATATTTATATATGCTTAATAATTAAAAAAATGGTATCGTTTTGTTATTCTAGTAATTAGGTTATGTTAGGTTTTGTAATCTCCATTACTAGATAACTTTTGACTTTAGTATAGTTTATACAAAAAATTGCTGAAGTAGGAAAAATGCTGGATACTATTATTTTGGTATTCCCATGGAATAAATGTAATTGAATTATTGGAAAATGGAAGAAAACAATAACAAATCTAAGAGATTGAACTATTACTTCAAAACTAATAAGATTTTATTGACTATGAAAACAATACTAATAATTAGGTATTAGCAAAACTACATTAAATAAAGTTCTTATTTGATTGCAAGAAGAGTGAATATATAATGCAAAACAAAAATATTTCAAAGAAAGTTAAAATATATTGCTAATAGTAAAGTATGATCATCGTTAAAATTATTTTGTATACTATTTTTACATCCTAAAAAAGAACTATTTATAAGTTTTCTTAAGTGAATCACCATTTTGCTAAATTGTTTAAATCATTTGATTAACATACGAAATTTGAACTTTCGCGCTATTGTTGTGCATTTCTTGTAAAGTAAGAGCTTATGAATAAATCATGATGAAATGAATGTATACAAGTTTCGCTATTTCCGCTAAACGTTTAATTTCTCTAACATTAACTTATAAATATTTATCAATTTAGTAAATTGAAAGAATATTAGATTCAATTACAATAAATATTTTGAAGTCATAAATGAAATGAATGTTCCTAAAATCTGTTAATCATTCAATTGTGAGTACATTTTCTACGTGTTATAAACTAAAGAGAAAGGGGAAAACCGAACAAAGTAGTGAAGTTGCGTAACATGTAAACGTTCAGAGCATTTGTAAGTGTTAGAATGTATCCGCAGGGTGACAGGACTGAACCGCTTGATGGGGTAAAAAGCAACAAACAAACAACAACAACAAAAAAAAATGACGTTACGTTCGAAAATTTCATAACATCTATTTCGCTAAACGCTCGACGCATTTGTAATTGAAACTTTCACATTTCTGCGAAGACGCGGTTTTCGTTAAAATGTTTTCTTTTTGCGATTTCCTAAACTATGACCTTAGACATTTAAAACAATTAAAATTTTATTAATTTTAACTGTAAAGCGGATAACGTCCAAAACCAAAAGATTTATAAATAATAAAACCTGAAACCAATGTAAATAAATGGACGTCATCTTGGATAATGGATGGGAAGAAAACAGCGCAAACAAAACAAAATAAATCGCATGTGAATCGTTCAGTTCAATTTAAAAATGTACAAGCAGTTTAGTTAGGAAGAGCGTTGTTATCTGGAAATACATCGTGGATTGAATTCGAAATTTAATACTTTCACGCGATCACCATGTGAGAAGTGTTTTCGAAAAGCTTAATTGCCTGAACCGGATTTCGCGAGGGATGCTTTCATCGGTCGAATCCTTAATAAAATGAAGAAACCTTTCGCAATGGTTCTGCCGTTTCCAAGTATGTTATTATACCGAAAACAAGAGAAGGAAGTGGAACACTTTTTGTTATGTGATAAAACTCGAATGTTTACGTGTACGCGAATTAAACGATTTCATTGTGAAACATGTTCCGTGATCAATGAACTCCGAAGTGGTCGTACGCAACTCGAATACAATTCGCATATGTTTTTTTCCTATACCCTATCGATTTGTTAACTGATATGTAAACAGATCTTATGTTTTGTTGGCTCTCCGAGAAAAATAGAGTATTATTTATAGAACTTAATGATTGAGTGAAATAAGCGAGTTATTTGTAAACACACGTATACAATTACTACAAATGTGTTTATGTTTGTACTTTGGTCGATGATGTGCGAATTTTACATATGTTATTATTTTTGTTTTGTTGCAGGAGTCCTACTTTATGTGGACCTTCGGTGTCCTGGACGCAGGATGTTTTGGTGCAGTCGTCATCAAGACAGGAAAATCCTTGTTATTCGTGCCGCGACTTCCGGACAGTTATGCCGTCTGGATGGGGCCCCTTCTCACTTTGGACGACTTCAAAAACAAGTATAAAGTCGACTCCGTTTATTATGTTGATCAGGTAATTTGTTTATCAACTTTTGAACGCGGCCGAATTTTATTAATTGTGCTTTCCCTTGCAGCTGGCCGACGTTCTGAAGGAGCAGAACCCATCATCTCTGCTCACTTTGGTAAGTATCACCTTCGACAAAGATTAAAGCAACCAGAAAAATAACAATAATTTGCAGAAAGGAGTAAACACCGACAGTGGGTTAACAGCGAAGGATGCCGAATTCGATGGAATTGACAAGTATGTTTACTAATAATCAATGTTAATGTTTTATTTTAAATACATTTGCTTCTGTTTCCAGATTTACCGTAGACAAAACTACTTTGTTCAATGAAATTGCTGATTTGTAAGTGCGATCTTAAGTAGTATCTAATTTTTCCATTAATGATTCCGTTTTAGGCGTGTTATTAAGACCGACATGGAGTTAGAGGTGTTGAAATACGTGACTGAAGTGTCATCAGCCGCGCATCGCGTAGTCATGAGAAAAGCGAAGGCAGGAATGAGTGAATATCAATGCGAATCGGTCTTCTTGGACCACTGCTACAGGGTTGGAGGATGCAGATTCGTCTCTTACACGTGTATCTGCGGCGCTGGAGCTAATGGAGCAGTCTTGCATTATGGACACGCCGGTGTACCAAATGATAAACCTATCAAGAATGGGGACATCTGGTATTCCGTTGATATCGCACTGAGAGAAAACCTGCTATAACTGTTTTTCCTTTCAGTCTCTTCGACATGGGCGCTAATTACTACGGTTATGCTGCAGACATCACCTGCAGCTTCCCAGAAAATGGAAAGTTCACGGCAGATCAGAAGATGGTTTACGAAGCGGTCCTTGCTGCTAATCTTGCTGTGTTTAACGCTTGCAAACCAGGAGTCTGCTGGGTGGACATGCATCAGTTGTCGCTGCGCACTATGCTCGAGTATTTGAAAAAGGGAGGTCTTCTCGTAGGTGATGTTGATGATATGATGAAGGCTGGTTTGGGTCCAATTTTCCAACCTCACGGTTTGGGTCATTTGATTGGACTGGATGTCCACGATGTCGGTGGATACTTGCCAAGTGAACCTTCCAGGCCTTCTGAAAGGGGAGTCAACAAGCTTAGGATGGCCAGAACTTTGAAGAAGGGCATGTGTCTCACAATCGAGCCAGGTTGCTACTTCATCAAACCAGTATGAATTTTTATTTATATTAACTTAAAACAAATTTTAATATTTATATTTTAGCTTTTGGATGAAGCCTTGAACGACCCCAAACTTTCCACCTTTATTGTCAAGGATGTCTTGGAACGTTTCCGTGGTACAGGCGGTGTTCGCATTGAAGATGATGTCTACATTACTGAAACTGGATGCGTCAACATGACCAAAGTACCAAGAACGTAAGAATTATAGAAATTTTACTCCAAAATGCTAATTTAACCATTTGCAGTGTACAGGAAATTGAAGACTGGATGTCCGGTAAAGATAGCGATTCCAAATACAACTAATTGTTCAATTCTAATATACAACATATATAAACGATTTATTATATTTCGTATTAATATCTATAATAAAAGCATATTTTAAAATGTACATATATTAGTTTTATTTTAAAATTAACTGATAGCTTAATCTTTCCAGCACGCAGTAAAAAAAGTTTTTTTTGGCTTTTGATACCAAGTCGTGCGAATTTCAACATTCAGGCGTTGTTTCACGTTCGTAGTGTAGATTAATTTTGTGCCGGTATAAAAGTATCTTTTAAAACATTATGTCTGTGAATAAAACTGAAAAGAATATAAACATGGATGAAACGTTGGAGAATAATATTTCAGAGAACAAACCGTCACTGACGCGGACAATCAAGATAATCAGCAAAAAGTGTCCGAAACCTAAAATATGCTGCGATTGTCTCACCCAATACGCTCTGCAACAACTCAAAGTAAGTCTTGTCAATTGTTTAATAGTCATAAATAAACATTGCCGCTTTCAGAAAAAGAAATGTTGTTGCAATAGCACACTGGACGATGATAGCTCCTGTTCCGATAGCTTCGATTCATCAAGTGATTCATCCGAGTCATCATGTTGTAGTTCCACTGATGATGAAACCACATGCTCTTGTAGCGATTGTAACGACAGCGATAGTAGTTATGATTCAGAAAATAGCAGTTACACAACATCCAGTTCGAGTGATAGCGAATCAGAATCGAACTACCGTCGTTCCGTCGTCTACCCCAGCAAACGATAAAACGCTTACCTGTATTTCTATCTAAATGTACCCATATTTTTTTGATTCAATAAAGGTTTCTTCTCCCTTAAATGCAAGTTTCCAGTTATAAAAGTAATAAAAACATGAGTCTAGGATCGAAAAATTAAAGACGTAGTAATGTATATTCTACACGAAACAACTGTGTATTTTGGAACAAATAGAAAAATATACAAAAAAATAATATTAACGTAATACTGATGAAGTTAACCTAAAGTCATCAATAAGCTGCGGCTATCTTTTAAGGAAGACGACAAAAGTTTTTTGAGGAGATTCTTATTCTTATCAGCGGTTTCGAGAGCAGCTGCTAATTCGGTGGCTCTCTTCACTATAATTGATGGAACTCCAGCTAATTTGGCTACATTGAAACCATATGATTTTGGACAAACGCCAGCAGCCATCTTGTATAAGAATGTGACGCACTCCTTTTTCACATCCCCTTCATTTTCAACCATGCAAACCATGTATCCCAATTGAATATCGTTTTTGCCAGCGAAATAGTCGACCAATGTATGGTAATGGGTAGAAAACATGGTACGACAATTTATATCACAAAGCTTTCTAATATAAGCGCTTGCAATAGCGTTACCATCGTGAGTTGAAGTTCCCCTTCCTAACTCGTCTAGCAATAAAAACGAGTGTTTCGTTGCATGCTGAAGAATGGATGATGCTTCAGATAACTCAACCATGAATGTCGATTGGTTTTTCAGAATATCGTCATAAGCTCCAAGTCTTGTAAAGATGCGATCTACCAAACTTAACTCGCAGTTTATTGCAGGCACGTAGCTTCCCTGAATAGTTGGATTTATTAACAATATATCATTAATTATATCTTATAATTAACTTACGATTTGTGCCATAATAGCGATTAACACGGTTTGTCTCATGAGGGTGGATTTACCACCCATGTTAGGTCCTGTTAAAATCAATATTGGCGCGTGATTCTCGCTTCCCATCTCCGTATCATTCGGTACAAAGTTATCGACATTTTTAATACATGGATGTCTTCCATTTTCAATGATGCATATCGGCTGTAAATGCAAGCTTTAAAAAAGATATCCTTAAATTAGTAGAATCTTACCTTATCGGTAAATGGCAACAGCTTTGGTAAGCATATATCTTCAGAGTAATTCCTGGCATACTCGGCCAATGAACATAGACAATCCAATACAGTTACGCACTTGATGACCTTCTCCCACTGTTCGTACTTCTCTGAAAACTTCTCGAAAATCCTGCGGTTCAAATCCAACAAAATTTTGTTCCTATCGTTCTCGGCCTCCATCATTTTTGCTAACAGATCTTTGCTAGTCGCCGTTGAATATCTCTTACAGGGCTTTGACCCTTTCTTGGTACCCTCCAACTGATACTCATGCGTAACTTTGCTGCACCGGCTCTCCGGTATTTCTAATTGGAAACGCTTCTTATCAGCACCAAAATAGTTAACTTCACATTTGAAGAACGAACGTTGCTCATCCAAGTACTCTTCTAGTAGCTGGTTAATGCCAGTTATTTTTTCTTCTGCCTCATCGTATTCTTGGTCCACCCCTTTCTGTGGAATGATCTTCCCTTCTTCTTTTGCTTTCTTATGGTCAAAAGCATCTTTGAAGAAATTCAAAGTCGGGACCGTGTCATAGAAATTCCCTTCAGGAGCATGCCTAGTCAGTCTCTTTAATAGCTGAGATTCGCATGAGCTGAATATTTTTGGGATTTCTGTAAGCTTCTCGAAAGCTTGAAGAGTAGTCAAAAGATCAGTAATTTTTCGATTGGCATAAATCTTCGCCTCGTAAAATACAGCTCGGCTGTCCGGATGATTCGTTGAGCAAAATTTATTTCCAAACATATGAATTTTGGCTATTTGCCTTTCCAAGTCTGGTAGTTTGCACAAAATCTCTTTTGTATTCCTCAATAACTCAACGTCATTATACAGTTCTTTCACAGTATTCTGCCTACTTTCGATTTTATTAACATCACACAATGGTTTACAAATCCACTGCTGGAAAAACCTTTTACCAAATGGTGTTGAACAGTAATCTAAAGTCTTTTGCAGAGAACCCTCTCCACCAAACAACTTAAGATTATTAATTGTAATAGAATCAAGTATCATATAATCTCTTTTAACTTCATGAGACTTCTGCAAAGTATCTACTGGTGTGTACAGTTCAAACTGACCCATTGAAATTACCTGAATGTCCATTTCGCAATCCTTCAAGTACCAAATACAAGCTCCCAGCGCTTTCAGTGCTAATTCATATTCCGGCTTCGGATATCTATCAGTCAGTAATTCGTCAAATAAAGAAGGCCATACAAGATCGTCATTAGAGTTTCGGAAATAACGTTCACTACCTAACATTTTAACCGCCGTTTCGGCGCTGAGAAACTGTGTACCGCTAGTTAAATTATCACGTCGAATAATACCCAAGGATCTCTTCAAAATTTCATTTGAATCTGAAGACATTTGATTCCTTTCTGTTAATACTAAAACTGGCGGATGTTGGGCTAACAGCGCTAGCAATCTGGAACAATGCTTATCGTCTTGAAAATTGGTCAAGTGGAAGGTGCCTATAGATGTATCAACAAAGCACACTCCAAAATGTTTCTGATTATCAATGAACTTCTCACAGATCGATGTCATGTAGTATGGAACTACCTGTTGCGCCTCTGTCAGTTGTGCTCCATAAATACAACTACCTTTTAAAGATATCTGACAAATCTCCCTCTTCACCACTTTATCAAATTTAGTAGCTTTCCCAACTTTACATCTTTCAGCCATCATTGCTGGTGTTTCTGTTTGTTCTACTCTAGCTACCTTAAATCCCTGCTCAATCAATGATGAAGCCATCTTACCATATGCAGATTCTGGGAATCCAGAGTGTGCAAATTCACCCTAAAATACAGAGTTTAATAAATAATCAAATTAACTAGAATCTTATTACCTTCATATAAGAAAACCCAAGGTGTTCAACTCCTACAGTGGCATCCATATGATATAATTCATAGAACTTCCCAACTTTGAAAAAAAGCACACTGTCCATATGCTTACTCTTCAACACCCACCACTGCCTCATTGCAGGAGTTAAAGTGTTTAAGTAGCTATCAGGAATATATAAAGTATTCTGATCATAATTAGGATCACCAACTTTATTTTTGTTAATATCCCTTCGATTTGCAGGTTTCAAGAATTCCAGATTCTCATGCAACCATCTAGTTTCATCATTTGTTATAGGCTTAGTGCTTGTAATTGGTAATTTTGATGTCTGCAGTTTGTCCTTAATTGGAGTATTTGTCTTTTCATAATTAAATTTTTTCAAAGCACTCGAATTCTCATCAACTTTAGTCTTCTTCGAAGGATTTCTTTTAGGACTATCAATGTTTTCATTGTCTGAATCGCTGTCAACAATGGCAATGCGATTCCTTTTCTTGGGTTTGATGACATCCTCATCACTATCTATAAAATGACTTGTTTAATAAATAGAATTACATGACTGGACATATTATTACCTTCATTTTGATTTTTGGGGATCAGTACTGGGCTCGATACATTGGGCTTCTTGGCTTTGCCTTTTGGAGACTGAAAATAGTTCAGCAATGTGTTAGATTGCGAGCTACTGAGTCGTTTCGACATAATTTATAATTATTATTCACTGTCACAGCAATATTAACACATAAAAGATCAATGTTCCATAGCACAAGAGCAATCTCAATCTCCGCTTTCTTCTGTGCAAAACCTCAAACAATTGAACCGCGGGAACTAAACTGCAATACTGCGCCCAACTGCGCCATCTAAAGATGAATCCTTCTACTATTCCATCATCTCATGGATATGGCAAGAACTATATTTGAAAAAACAAAACTTTAAATAAGTTTTTCTCTTAAAAATTAAAAAATATATTCGAAATAGTTTACTTGCTAAGAGGCAAAGCAACTCAAAATCATTCAACGACAATCGTTTACAACAGAAAGACAAAAATAAATTAAGTATGTTACCTTTTTAAAAATTTACCTTACAATCTTAATATTTTTTAAATTGTTACAGAATATCCAAGATGCCAGGTTGTAAACCATGCGGTAAAGCTCCAGCAAAGAAATCCTCAGCGAAAAAGCCTGCTGCTAAGAAGCCAGCTCCCAAGAAATCAACATGCAACTCTTGTGGTTGCAGCAGCAGCAGCAAGAAGGTATTATAAAAGAATAACTAAAAAAATCTACTATAACTTTTATTCTTTTTTTTTGTTTAGAGCACGAAGAAGACCTACAGATGCGATAGCAGCTCTAGTGACTATTCTAGCAGTGACTACAGCTCTGATTCGGACTGCTCCTACCGCAGATGTCGTTAGAATGACCTTTATACAATGTACAATTTTGGCTCAAAAAATATGTACTGTGATAATTCCTCCAAGAAGACTATAGTCGACAACGAAGCTGGAATTATTCGAGTTTTCTTAATAATGTATTCGTAGTTGACTGTTCTTCTTGTCTTGTATTTTCTATGATGTTTTTTTTAATGTGATTTTAAGTGTGTATTTTACTAAATTGATTTTGAAATGAAATAATATAATTATATCTAATGCAAAGATCATGTCTTTATTTTTCCTTATAATTTTATTGAATCGATAATTTTAGATAATTTTAAAATATGGAATACAAACTGTGAGAACCAAACCTGATACTTTATGGTTTAAAGAGAATGAATTTCTGAAAACAACCAAGTTAGCAGATTGTTACTTGAGTCGGATCACATTTTCCATCTTTTCAGCAGATTTAAAGATCACGTTCATACATAGTCACTTGCTGTGTATAGAAATATGAAATTTTATCCTTCCAGTAACATCTATGTTCATTTTCATTCAATTATCAAGTAAAATTAAATATTTAATAATTATTTATTAAATAATATAATTGACTGAAGAACATTATTATAATAATAATATAATTCTACTACACTAAAAATATTCCATGTTTCAAATAATTTTGATTTTAGTAATAGTTTTCATGCTTATTTCGATATTATTGTTGATTAGATATCAAAAATTCGAACCTGATATTTTGTCAAAAAAAAATGCATATGATCAAAAAGAATCTTGGATGCACCATGACTAAATAAAATATTTAGTATTATTTTCTGTTTATACACAATTTCAGGGTTTGTCCTAATTGGACAATATTTGTCTTTACTTTTATAACATATTACTGTTTATCGATTATTTAGTTATAATAATATAAGAATATTATTTCATGCAAAGACAGTGTTAAAGAGCATATTTTTAAATATAACACAAAAAAAAACGTCTACTTTCTCTTTCTCTCCTTCGATTTGGTTAATTGGCACTATTTCACCAGTTATCTCTTTCATGTATTTTTAATGTATATAACAATTAACATAATTGTAGGAAAACAATGGATGCAGCAATAATTTAAATATTTAAACAGGTATTAAGTGGAGACATCTACCATCAAACTTATACACTTCTTAGCTTCAAATATACTATAGTTACCTATAAACTTGTGAATAACAAAAAAAAACAGTTAATACTAATTTTTTTTCAAATATTTTACAGTCGTAGAATACTCATTCTATTCTTGGCAGTGTATAGAATTGGTATTAACTTAAACGACAAACGTTTGCAAGAGTTTATTTAAAAAAATACAAGTAAGTTATTCGAGTTATAAATTGAATAGATATTAAAATTAATTTCAATAAAAAAAATATTTGATTTCTAGTTAATGGGTTTTATGTAAGCAATTTGTATAATGATGATATTACATTTCTCCTAATATTGTAGATACAATTTAAGACTGTTTCATTTGATTTTTTTTCCAGTCGAGATGGCAGCAAAATTATGCGAAAAAGCACCATCGAAGAGAGCGACTATGAAATCCCAAAGAGGGATCAGTAAAAGAAGGAAAGTAAGTATAAAAAAAATCTTATACTTTTGTAGAAAGTATAGATAACTTATGTTGCATTTAGAACTCAAGGATACCAGCACCAGTTATCCTGAAAACAGCTACTGCAATGCTTAATCGAAACGAAGAGACAGCAGATGGCGTTAAGTTAATAGTCTTGAAGCAGCTGAACAGAGTCTCCAAAAAATCATCATCGTCAACGTGCAACAAAAATAGTAGTGTCACAATGGAGACTTCACTATAATTAATTCACGATATTTTTATAGCAAAAATTAAGTTATTTACAATTGTTATAAGACATTAATTTCGTAAATTAGTTTGTGATTTATAATTTTTTTCTCTTAATTCGGACGAGAGATTATTATTTTTTATAGCTCCAAGCAATATGTAAATTTTAGATTATCATTTTTGTTCTGTAGTTTACTTAGTCTTATGTCTATTTTATGATATGATCATTTAATTTAGAATGAAATATTTGTAGTTTTATTTAATCCTGAAATCAAGAATTATTATTTAATCAAACTTTAATTAAATTAATTTAATTAAAGTTAAATCAAATAAGATGTGATTAGTGTTAAATATTCATTTCATTAATTTATTAATTTTTCTATTTAACTAGTAGTTAAAAGAAGCTATTATTCGTAAAATTTGTCCATGTTTGATTTATATAAAAATTTGTCTTCATAAAAACATGAAACTTTATATTTGTGTCTTTCTTGATTTGTATCACAATTATATTCAATTTTAAAATTATTTTGATTATTGTTTCAGATTTGTATGCGTAATGTTACATAATGTTCCTGTATATATAAGAAAGAATAGATGATATAATTGATGGAATACATATGCGACATATGTGTAAAAAATCTGGATGTGGCCACATGTCCTGACCAAATTGATCCGTTCCAGAAGATATCTTACGGTAATTATTTTTCAAGTGATGACAACGATTGCGATTTGTAAAGAAGGGATTAAACATATAATTTATATAAGGAGGGGAAGCGTACGGCGTGGGGGTTGTACCACCCCGAATCATCCCTCGTTCACAACAGGTCAAGGATTAAAGCTGCCGCCTCCCTTCTAAATACCCGTCCCGTTTAGTTTATACCTAACCGACGTAATTATTTTCATTAATTAATTGAAACGAGCAAAAAAAATTTGTATACATACAAACGTGCAAAGCAAAACAACGGAGGAGAAGAAAACGAAGAAGAAAGGGAGTGAAAAAGAACGTGGAAGCAGATTTTACTTGCCCTTCTACTACCATACCATCCCACCCCCTTAAATCTGAATGGTGTACGTTTGTACTTTCAATGTTGTTACCTCCGTTAATTTTCTTCTTTTCGCTTTTCGCTAATTATGAGCGTTTTCTCCCTTAGTGGTGCATCGGCAATTCTCGGCCCTTTCCATATGCGGCGGAAAAGCTTTACTTTTTTAAATAAAAATGATGGCATTTAATGAGGGCGCGCTTCGCAAATACGCCTATTCAAAAGCTACTTTTGAATGCCTCTCTGAATTTTTATTTCTACGAAGATTACGTTCTTTTGTATTAAATACACACGGCCGAGGGAGAAAAAATCGTAATTGATTGGTTATTAAGAGCGCTCCGATAGTTTCAAAAGAATAAATACATCGTGCCAATAAACCGCGATGTTCGAAAAGCAGAAATAAATAACCACAAAATATAAATAAAACGATTGGACTAACATCTCTTTATATCGATCTAGAACCATTCTGTTTCTGTATTCATTCCACCAATAAACATTCAATTCATTACATCGAGTACATTTCAGTTTTAATATAATAAAATTATTTTTCATGTTTTTATAAAATAAACAAGCCAATTTCATCTCAGACAGTATAATTTCATCAACTTTTTACATACATACTTTATATATGCGACAAGAAAAAATAAAATTTATTTAGAAAAAAAAACTTAAAATTATTTGGCGTAATCATTACTATATAACATAAATTATTTATTTATAGAATTAATTTGGATGAAATTTATAAATCAGAGAGCAGTTAAATTAAAAGTTACTAATATTTTTATACGAAAAAACAACTGTTGTCAACTATTGATTATTATTACTGTTGACTATATTGACTACAGGTCTTTCTGTCCTTATAAATCTTTTTATATGGAACTTCTGAGTGATATAAAACATTAATAATGTTTTGGCAAGAAAATAAAAATAATTTGGGCGGAAAGACCTCGGTCGTTAGCCCTTTGGCCAGCCTATTAATATATTTTTGTACTTTGAATGTACTTTATTTTTCTTATATATTGATGTTTGGCCAATAAATTATTATTATTATTAAAAATAATTATTTTTTTTATTATTTTGATCAATTTAAAATGTTCAAACCGGACTATAGTGAACCAGGACTGATCGAAGCCGTACTTTCCGAAATATTACTGTATTTAATACTTTGAAATTGAAATAGATTATAAAAAATACTATTATTTATAAATTCCGACAAATTGCAAAATAATTTATTATGTAATTTAATATTTTCATAATAAGTAAAGGCCAGTTTATTAATTATTTTTATTAATTTATATTATAATTTATCTTATCTTATTTTTTTTATTTTTATTTAAACAATTTTAGTTAATGATTTTTAATTAATTAAAATATTAAATTATTGTTTCTAATTTTTTTCATACACTTTTATTAGGAACAAGATAGGCAATTTAACATTAATAATACACACAAGTTTACAGAAAAATTGAAAGAAAAAAATACGTTTTATATTATCATAATTCTACTGCAAAATATTCCAAATTCATAAAGCATTATGCATTAGCAGATACAATCAAACATTAGTACAACATAACAGTCAGTC